TAATTTAGATTTTATTCTTGAAACATTTCGACTTTATTCTCATAACTTAGAATTTTTTCTCAAAACATTTTGACTTTATTCTCGTTATTTTGACTATATTCTCGTATTGCTATGACTTTATTCTCATAATTTTGTCTTTTTTCTCAAACCATTATGACTACAATCTCGTAATATTAGATTTATTTTTTAAACGTGGTGCTAAAACACCGTCGTATTTAGCTGATTAGAAAATCTGCTGTTTACTGTATTTGTCAATTTAACGTGTAGTTCAATTATTTACATTTTTATATTTGAATTAATAATTTAATTAATTTTGCCGATTCCTCGATATGCTGCCTCACATTAAACAAAGATTGTGACTGACATCATAACTTAATATATTGTGCATTTGATCACAACTGGAACTCTGTATTGACCAATCACAAGCCAGAACCAGAACTATCCGCATTTCTAGAGAATCAACACTGAAACATATGTAAAATAATACGTAGTGCCCATAATATGTAGGAAACTAGTACAGTACATACTGTCTGATTCTCTGTGATTTACTTTTATAAAAAATAAAAAGAGACAAGTGAATGCAGTGGTAATTGCATAAATGAACACATACTGTAACTGGACTCTCATCACGATGGCTTTATAACAGAGATTACCTTAAAGAAACTGAATTACGTGCTGTATCAGAATAATTTTCCTGAATTCAGTTTTTGACTGCTTCAGAGTAAACGAGCAGGCCCGCGTCCTCTCAGCATGACCGCCTGTCTGTCACTTCACCTGCATGTCCTTTTTGAGGCAGGACGAAACTATTCATTTTCTCTACAGGGAAAGTAAGCTGCTTATTCACGGACTCATTCAAGTACTAAGAAGCACTGCAAGATATCCAATATCATTGTTTTTGCCACCGTTTTGAATGGGCTTTTAATGGAACCAATGAACTGTTCATGGACAAACAAGCAGGAGCGTTTTGAATTTCCAAGAAGGAATTTCAAGGATTTTCTCTGTATTGTATTTACCAAGCTGAGTTGTATATCTTCGTATTGGATGTATCCCGTTTGTATTTCTGTTTCACTTACGTCGAATGGAGCTTTTATGTTTAAAATCGTGTTTTAAAATGAACACATTCCTCAAATCTGAAAGAAAAATAACATCTTTGTAGTCTCTACAGGTGTCCAAGTAAAAGCAATTTGAGTGGAGTTTCCCTCTATGAGAACTGCCTCCTGTTGCGCTCCGATCTCTGTCGTCTTACCCGATCATGCTGGTTTCGACACAGATATATTCCCTCGCCTCCTTGAGATGAGGCAGCTGAAGTGTCTTTGTTCTGCTCCATTACTCGCGGTTAGGAGCTGCGATTCGTCTCCATCTGCCGCTTACGTCGCACCTCACCAGCGTCAGCTTCCCCCAGACACGGTCACCGGATATAAAAAAATTAAATTACTGAAAAGTGGTGAAGTGTTTTCATGGTTTTCTGTGCAGATTTGCCGCTCTCGCAGTGGGGCATTTCCTCTCTTATGAATCATTGTGTTTTCTAAAACTGCGCTGCTCTGCCGCTTTGACGATTTAATTGAATTTTGGCTTACTACGTCAATTCGTTCCTTGTGTATCTTTGGTTTGTAATGATGAATGGATGGAAGCACTTGTTGAGCGAGAGACCCCATTTGTGAAGTAATTATGTCCTTTAAAAGACTACAAATTTGTGCAAAACAAGTACAGTGAGCTGTATTAAAGGTGCTGTAAATGATGTTAGCCATCCAGGAACCTCCACCAAACTTGGACATGACCCGTCTTTACAAAACCCTTCGTACAAAGATACTGTTGAGATTGTGAAAATGAGAGTTTCTACGATAAAGAAAATGAAAAAATCTAGTGTAGAATGCATCTGCCAAGTTTTTAGAAATGTTCATATTGGTTTCATATGGTTTTGAACGCTTTTATACCATTTTAGACTTTAAATTTGAAAGGTTAATAAAATGTCATGGGGTGTAACCATCCATTATTATTTTATTTTCAATTTTTTATTTTTGTTTTTATTCATTCAAATATCCAGAATTATTATAAAAAAATTTTGAGTCTTATTGACCTAGACATATTGACCAGTCATTACTAAGAAATAATAATAAAAATAACAATAATAAAAAGTTAGACTACTCCATGTTAAGGTTTATATATATATATATTTATTTATTTATTATGGATGTGCATCTCATGACTCAGGCCGATACGATACGCATCTCGATGCATAGCCAACGATACGATACATTAAAGATACATATGAAGCAGCTACCGATGCGATGCGATACGATTCACCCTTGTTACGATGCAATGCGATCCGATTCCGATTCGATTAGATTCAACACAATGCGATTCGATGAAATACGATGCAATGGAGAAAATATGATAACTTTTAATGCCTCGAGGCCTGTTTCATAAAACAAGTTTACCAAATAAGCCAGGCTTATTTCAGTTAGTCTGACTCATTGTCAAATGATTTGGTTCCATGAAGCAAATTTAACATAGGCCTAGATCAAGCTTAGTCACTGTGGCAACTTATGCTGGGAAACTAACCTGGTCTAAAGCAGGCTAATGGCGCTTTTCCACTGCAAGGTACTGCACGGTACGGCTCGGTACGGTTCACTTTTTGGGGGTTTTCCACTGGGTACAGTACCTGGTACCTGGTACTTTTTTTAGTACCACCTCGGTTGGGGTTCCAAGTGAACCGTACCGTTACCAAAACGTGACGTGTAAACTGTGCTGGT